GGGGGGAAATATCAAACGACACCGGCAACCAGACCCTGCGTATTTACAGTATTTCTTTCCGCGAAGCGCCTCTTGAGTAATTCGTCCCTGAAAAATATCAATATCACAGGTTCACTTTGTAATATGATAGCCTCAAGAGACTCTTGGAGTTTATTGAAGCTCCTGCTCAACGTTTTATATCAGCCTGACAAGTAGCGAACGACGACATCACGGAAATAAAAAGTTGGATGTAGCTGGGAGCCTTATAACTTACAGGCGTAGAATTACTGGGTTAAAGAAAAATCGACATCCTGGCGTGTTTACACTTTATGAGGCTCAATGATTTTTCAGCGCCTGACCTTGTTCCACCGGAAAAGTATGTATCACAATATTATCCTGCCCTTGTGGAGACTTGATCATTTCTAACATGATTCAAATGTGCAACGCACATCGGGATGTAAGTACAGTAGACCGTAGCCAGGGCACAACTGACAAGGCACCTGAATCAAGACGGCCAAAACGAAAAAAAAAATAAAACCATTATTTTTTTCGGGTTTGTAAGCCTTCGGTGATCTAAACCTTTCGATCTTCTGACACTTCTATGAATGAATCCTTCGATGTATGGTAGCGTTCGCTCAACTGTCTTTCGACAAAATGTCCATTCGTCGACATGAGTTTCGATAATTCGATACCAACCCCAGGGGCACTGCGTGCCTGCAGAGGCAATCGCTCGGCAGGCGACCGTGCAATCGCCTGCGCTGTCAGCTGCACCTTATCGCTTTCGCATTGTTACTTTTCCGGTGGGTATTTTCATAGGAAATTCTTATGGAAACGTAATCACTCTTCTCTTCCTCCATACTAAATTCCATCGCTCTTCTCGTAGTTTCATAGCATTTTTGAAACAGCAAGCCGCCCCCTCCCCTCCCCCCCAGAAAATAAACTTCATTAGAAATTATTTAGCGTAACCAACTCTTTTAAACGGAACTATTATTTTTGAAAGTTTATTATTTCACCTACCATTGCTCCAGTTTTCATGGCTCCCTCTTTGTAATTTTTCAGGTTTTCTGAAGCGTAGAACCTTCTGAACTTCCATCCGATGAGGCAAAGCATACTACCCGTTTTCGCTCATGCGAAGCGAGGAATGGAAAAAATTATTTTCGTAATCCTCTTTTGGCTTCTCAAGCTCAAGAAGCTAGGGCATCCAGGACCGGAAAAATTACTTTTAAAATACCATCGGGATATCATGGCTGGCCCTCTTTTACGAGGGAAGAATATCGGACGATCGTATGCCAACCATGCCACCTACCAATCTATTTCTCTATCTTATCTTATCTACTCCAATAATTTTAGTCGTGCGCCGATGGACTGAACGAGTGAGTAAAACGAGAGTGAGAACCACCGAGTGAGTGTCACCTTTGAAGCCGACGTGCAACTGAAAAGCGCCGCCAAAGCACACTTCGCAGGTTGGTTCGAGGAGGCGAAAGAGATGGGTGCCTTCGGGGAGATCTGGCGATAACGTGCAAAAAAGGTCTCCCGATTTCCAGAGATTCTTTAACTCCCTTAGATAGAGGTTGAGAAGGGGGTACACCGATCGCTTCCTGTTATCTGCCCCATCCGTGCATTGACCCGAGTCGACAGAGATTATAGTGGGGAAATTGGGAAAGGTAGATAATTGGAGGGGCGAATCCAACCCGGTTCGTTTTAAGCAAAGGGCCGGACCGGCCAGTGCTCTCTAATAGACCGAAGGAAAAGCCTAAAATTCCGTCCGTATTTCCAAAAATTCACTCTCATAATGGTATAAATTAATGCACGAAGTAAAGCTCTATAGCGAATCGCAGTCTCTATAAAACGGTCAGAAAGGCACACATGTGTCTTATGGCCTCCAGTCGTGCAAATATGGACTCGGACGAACCTGTTGTTGGTCCTTTTGAGGTCAGCCTTGAGCAGCTTGGCCTCGGCCTCCCGTCTCTTGAGGACGTGCAGCGCGTAGTCCAGCTTTTCCGCATAGAGGACGGAGGCCGCTTTCCTTTCCTCCACTCGCTCTCTCATCTCCTGTTGGGCGATGAACGAGTTCATGCATTCATGGCTTCTCTCGAAGGATCGGGAACGATCGGGGGTGGTTTCAGAACGAGAAGGATCGTCGATGGGGTTCCTCGCTGGGATTGCAGGGCTAGGTTTAGTTTCAATCAATGAACGTTAAGTCTTGAGTGAGGTGCGGGAATTTTGGTAGAGGCAACTTCCAACTTCGCTTTCATGGAAAATGGGCACATCATTACCTTTACGATAAGAAAGAAGGGAACGAGGGAACCTATGAGATGCAAGGGGAGAGTAGGGGGGGGGGGGCAAGAAGCAAGGGAAGATAACAGGAGGAATGGTTCCACACCCCACACATCGAAATGTAGTTCAGTTCATCCAAAAGTTTTAAGGGGGTCTGATGTCGACGCAAACCTTTATCCTCGGGTGCATGTACGAGGGTGGTTCAAGGCATTCGCGAAATTTATTTTTTGGAGCATTTATTTCCGATGCAATAACTTTAAAACTCTAACTACTTCTCGAAATAATTGTCCTGTATAACGCAGCATTTTTCTCAACGGTGCACTAGTGCCTGAAGGCCCTTAGCACCTGTCTCGCTGTGTCAACCATTTTAGGACGCGCTCTTTCACAGTTCTTTCAGATTCAAGTCGCTGTCCACCCAAGTGTTCCTTAAGCAGAGGCGGATACAGAAATTTTTCATAGGGGGCGGTTCCCTATTTCCTACCCTCCCCCCCCCCCCCCCCCCCCCCCCCCCCCCTAAAAAAAAAAAAAAACGGAAAAAAATAGAATGGTAAACCTGGCCATAGGGGAGGCGGTCGCCCCCCCCCCCTCCGGATCCGCCCCTATCCTTAAGGGGCCCAAGCATAGACATCACTCGGAGCTAAATCGGATCGTAGGGTGAGTGCGAGACAGACTCCCAGCCGAGGCTGGCCAGTTTTGCCGCGGTTTCATGGGTCGTGTTTGGTCGAGCGTTCTCTTGCAGAAAGATCACTCCACGAGAGAGTAGATCGGGCCTTTCTTTGCGAATAGCTGTCAGTATAGCTTGCAGGACTTTGCAGTAGTAGATAATGTTGATGGCAGAGCCTTTGGGCGAAAATCCGCACGAATAAACCCGGAATGATCCCCGAATGCCGAAGCCATGGTCTTGCCGTGCCCAAGGTCGTCCAGCACACTCTTGCGCCCGGCTTTAAAACGTGAATGCCACTTAAATACAGCCGATCTTTGAAGTCTTTCTTCGCAAAACTGGGCTCAAATTCGCCTGTGAATCTCACTTGGTTTGATGCCTTCCTTAACCAAAAACTTAATCACAATCCTCCGTTCGAGAACCGAGTCAAATGACTTTTCCGTCATTTTGCCTATCAGGCGACACACGATGGCCACGACAACGTTTATCACAGAACGTTTTTTTCTTTCTATCCTCTCTATCGATCCATATGCATAACTAGCGAATTGATGGAAGCCTCTAAAAGCAAAAGTCCACGAATGACTTGAACTACCCTCGTACATCAGAGCAATCTCTAAAAAAAAAAACAATCGTGAGTTTTTGATGGATTGACATACGTGGATCTGTCGGTCGAGATCGTCCTTGGCCTTCCTCGTGGCCTCCTCGCGCTCCTCCCGGCCGAGGCAGAAGGCGCGAAAGCGATTCTCGTCCAGTTCCAACCTCTTCTCCAGGTTTCTCTCTTCCTTCTGCTGGACCCTATGGAACTCTTGGCGGAACTCCTCTTCCTGCTTCGCCCCCATCTCTTCCTGGTCCTTACGGATCGCCTCCTGTACCGACAGTGCATGCATGATAATAAAAAAAAATAATAATAACAATGGAAAGAAAGATAGGAAAACAATTTTTATTTTAAAGCAAAACTTCTAAGAAAATGTTGATATTAACTAAAAGTGTTAACATTTAAAATGTTCAATCCATGCAGCACTCGACCTGGATTTTGAGCGCCTCGCTGCGATATCGGGTGAGGAGCAGCCCGTACTGCTTCCTCATCCGGGCCGTCAGGAGGGCGAACACCTCCGTGTCCTTCCCCACGCTCGTCTCGTAGGCCTCCAGGTCCTCCTCCATCTTCTGGTGCATGTGCTCCAGCTGCTGCTTTCGCTCCGAGAGTAGTTCCTCGGTGGCCGCTGCCGTTCGTCAGTTCCGTGGAAGGGGAGGAGCATGTTCTTACAATTTAATTTCTAAAAAACCCACTATTATTGATAAATGTGACAGTAATTAGGATGATAAATAATGCAGTATATGAATGTTATTATGATGAGTATATAATTAGCGTTTCACCACGTTTAATTAAAATATTTACAATTTATTTCGCACATATTCATCTATAGAATGCATTTTTCACATCGACATTTTCCCCACTTGCGTGGGGAAAATGAGGTGCAAATCTTTCCCCGCTCGGTGCAAATCTTTGGGGGGGAAATCTGGGGGGATTTGCCCCCAAACCGAGAGGTTGGGGGCAAATAACGTAATGTTCTTTACACACCCACAGCGGCGTAACTTCCGGGGGGCAAGGGCCCCCTCCTCCCCACTTTTCAAGAAAAGAAACCAAAAAAAGGAAAAGATCCAGAGATGCATGAAAACAGTTTCCCTACGTTCCCGTGCCCACCCACTATTTCCTGTGCCCTTCCCCCTCCCCCCACACTTTTTTCCCTCCACGCTACGCCTATGCACACCCACTCCTGAGGATGAAATGGATTAGCAGGGATTTCCTTTCTCTTGGCTAGCGGGAATACCCCTCCCCGCCCCGCTTGTCCGCTCATTCCTGTGAAGTGGATGAAATGAAAATTTATTCAAGTTATGTCCACTCTAGCAAAAAATAGAAAAATGAATTCGGGAGGAAGGGGGGGGGGGGACAAAGCCAACCTCCTAACCCCCCCCCCCCCCCGGCAAAGATGGGGATGCGCAGCCCCTTTTCTCCTGTCGTGAGTCTATACCCTCTTGTACACCCCCGAGAAAGCAACAGGCAACTGCATTCGCAACTGCACCTTGTTGAGAGGCCAGCAGCAACCGGAGCTCCTCGGCGCTCGACATCCGTTCGGCCGACTCCCATCGCGAATGGATCTCCTCCAATCTCTTCTTCCAGTCGCGATGCACTTCATCGAGGGATTTTTCCAGAGTCGCTTCTTCCTCCTCGTGCTGCCGGCTGTGGGACAGAGACTCGAGTCAGGCTTCGCTCTTTCCATCTCCATCTTATTACCATAAATCTTTGATGAGTACCGTCGCTCTTTTTCCCTGGAGATGGCTGCCAGGTGAACGTTGGTCACGAAGGCGGAGCTGTTGGCCAGCACGGAGCGAATTCCTTCTGCACTCTGCTGTAATTGGGCCTCCGTGTGAGATACCTCTGGGGGTGGGGTCGGAGTCTTCGGCTTCGGCGGGGCTCTGCGTTTTCAAGACACAATCGGGGCCATCCAAAATCCATCCTTTCACTTTTATATTTATGAAGATTCTGAGGCCCCTGATGTACCCTCACCTGAGTTCCTGGATCCTCGTCTCCACACGCTCCCTCCGTTTGCATATTCTCAATTCCTTGTCTTCGACCCATTCTTCTTCTAGGCCCGGTTGCCGCTCCATGTTGCATAGACGCGTCACTTTTCGCACAGAGTAATTCTTGTCTGCTGACATTGATCAAGCAAGACGTTATATAGCAATGTCATGGCACCGTTACCGACACGCAGAAATAATATCAATGATAATGGAGTATATATTGTCGTAATTTTATTGGGCTGTGCCTTGATCATAAGTAAAAAGACAAGTCATTACTGGAATTAAATGAGGTTGAATGACGTCTCAACGGAGGAGCCGTCAATATGCGGTTTTCAGCTGTGGGAAAGCAGTGGAGGAAATCGAAATGTCGAAGATGCTCCAGAACAAATATGGCCGCTTCACCTGTGACGGCTAGAAATTAAAGACAATTATCTCTAAATAGGAAGCCCCCTTTCAGAGAAATCTAGGACTCACGAAAATTAATCTGGCCTATAATAGAGTATGTAGGTTAGACCTACAGTGTAGGTACTTTCAAGTGAGGGGAGCGTTTCGTTTGGAAAAGCCTCGGTAGAGTCTAGCCTAATTTGGGCGCAGGCTGAGTCCAGACCTAGGCTATCATTAAAGATTAGGCCTACGTATTCCGAGATAGGGTATGCCTCAATATCGTACTACCTCCCTCTCACTGCCACTTCATCAGGTGTGGATGTCTTGTGATCCCTTCATAATCTGGAATGGGCTTGGGGTTCGAGCTCATTCCACCACGCCTTCCCATTGGTCGCTATTAGGGATTCGTCGTTTATTTTCCAGCTGGAGCTTGGGATGGAGAATGTTTATGTCAGCAATGTTGGTGGGAAACTCCCTCCCAGTATCGAAAGGGGTTAAAAACAGGGTAGATAAAATATGCTTAAGTTTCTAGTTAGTTTGGAAGAGGTTAATGGTAGATGGCACTAACAAAACTATTTAATTAGGAAGGTAATAGCACCTACAAGGAAACCTAAATGTTCCAGGTTGTGAGGAGGGTGTAGTGGCATACTGAACCATGTCCAGCTGGGTTTAAGCCTGGACCTTACGTGATATTAGAGCTCCAATAAAGCAGGCCAACAGTTATTTATAAATTTATATTCATAAGCATTAGCTAGGCATGGCTCAAGGCCCATCCTACTGATATGGTAGCCCACTTTCAAAGAGTAATATGGTTTTCATGATAGACTTATCATTCTTTATGAATTGGACTTGGTGTGAGATCTATCTAATGTCCACATGAAAGGTGGACCTTAAGCCTCACCTAAATCTTTGCCAACAAATTTCTTTAATCCTCACATAATTGTTTGGGTATACTCAACACAGGACCCAAGTGGGTTATGATGCCAGAAGTACTTAATATGACTTGCATCGGTCCTAACCTTGAGCAAAGCACTTAAAAGATATGAATTTCATAGCTATAATTTAAATCTTTCAGTTAGATAATTCATTTTGATCAAATCTTCCATAATGTCTGATAAGTTGCTGTAATGTTAGGCCTAGTCTCAATTCTGCATTTGTCAGCCCTGTGTTATATCTTAACAAGAATTTCATTCCATCTGGCTAAAAATTTTGACTTATAAATATATAATCCTTTATAATCAATGACATCTACATTTTTTTTAACAGGAAGACCCACTTACCCATGTGTCCAATTTAAACTTTTGAAGTGAATTTTCATCCTAATCTTCCTCAGCCCCCCCCCCCCCAAAAAAAAATCAGGATTTGGAATATGTTTATGTGCCACTCATGTCTTGGGAGGAGGCTTATGTTGACTCTTGGCTGCTTGCTGTATAGGGCATCCATGAAGTTAGTATAAAGGTTATAATAAAAAAAATTGGCCATCATCACATTTGAGATGAATGAACATAACCTGGGAGATGATTCAGGCTTGGTATAACTTATAATAAAATAATTCATTTTGCTAATTTTACAGATGGCACATCATTAACACATTTGCTGCTGAATGTGCACATGACGAATTCAAGACAGTTATGCAATGGCACTGCCATCCCACTACAAGTGAATTTGTTAATGCTGGAAGAGTTAGTTAATGTGGCTTATAGGATGATTATTTATCAAAGTCCATTTATGATGCAGTGAGAACTAAGACTGCATTTCAAAAGTTATATTTGAATTAATAAATTTATTGGAAAATAGTGTGCTATTAGGTGCTAATCAATTCCTGGGTTTTGTTATTTTCTCATTTATAATTCAATGTACCATATATTATGATGTTTGGGATTTGGAATACAACAAATTAAGAGATGTTTGGAATGGGAGATTTTATATTGTACCTGAATTGCCTGCAATGTTGGGTTCATTGACTTCAGATATAGTGGAAGGAACAATTCCATGAAACAGTACAGTGACTTAATGTATACTCTGTGCTGCAAAACTGACTGTTGGCATACCTGGCTATACCAAGTTAGGTCATATACCTGCTGTAGTTAACCCCTTAACTGGGGGGACCACCTTTTGGTGTTCAAATTTCCATTCTAATACTGCACTCACTACCTTTAGGCATCCCTGCATTTAGATAGCTAGCAAAATCAGAGTAGACACAGAAAGGCTCATGGACACTTTGCATATTTAGAGATATTCTGCTAATGAGTGTATGCAGCAAGAAAAACCCTATGGTTTGAGCAAAAATACTTAATGGTTTTCCAGCAAAAATATACCCTGATTTAGGAGTTAAGAGACAAAAGTGCTTTGTGAGCTTCCAAAGTTGAAGTTCACAGACACTATTTTGGGTGTTCATCAGAAGGTAGTTATAAACCAGGTACTCCCATCTGTGAGAAGAAGAAGTGACTTTCTCCAATTTTATATTATCTTAATTTTTATACTTTATTAGAATCTGTGAGTATGGACCCCTTAAAGAAATCTTGAGGGTAGCCCTCCTGGCTAGTAGTGCCCATGTGGAGGTGGCAGCTATGGTGAAATAGATTTTTTTTTGGAAACTGGACTATTTAGCTTTTGATGCATATTTTGGTTTTATTGCTGGTCTGCAATTCATTCTGTTCATAAAGCATCATACAGTTGAACTCAGTTATAGTGATGAAAGCGCCAGATCCCCAGCGTAGAGCCCATAAGGCACGTTACATTTTACCTTGGTTAGAACGAAGTCCATTGAAGGACGCACAGACGAAATCGACAACGTTCATGTCCCTAATCCGTCATTCTTAACTGAAATTTCCTTCATAGGAAAAATTAGCATTGGCAAGCCATGACTTTATATTTCCTGGATTCGGCATTCCTTGAGAGTTATGTGGGTTTGGCTGGAGCAATGTTAGGGAGAGATAATCCCCAGTAACTAAGATCACCTTATCTTCAGTTGCCATTTGCATTTCTCGTTGACAACATGGCCAATGAAAAACGAAAGAGGCAAGCCTTCACGATTGAAAGGAAAGTGTGCTTCATTAGTTTAATAGAAAGAGCTCAAAGTGAAGCTAACGTCACTTGTGAACATGGACATCTGTTCATCTGTTTCCACAATTTGGGAAAATTGTGACAGCTTCATCCGTGCTTACCAGAACATGTCACAAAATAAGAAACTTTCTAGGTCTGTTGAGATGACATCGACGAAGCCGTGCTAAAATATAAAGTAGTTCAAGGTCCAAAGAAGTGGGAACATCATGATTAGTGGGTCAATCTTGAAATTGAAGGTAGTGTAGTATGAGCAATGTAAACTGGAGTTGTAACGTTATATAGCATCAATTTGAAAACAGGAAAATGGAGTGCCAATAAAGGCAACCTCTGTTATAACGAACCTTGGTTATAACGACAGTTTTTACCTGGTCCCTTCAATGACATTATAACCGAGTTCGACTGTATATTTCATGGCCTTGACTTAACTTTGTCCTGATTTCTAAATGAAAAATGGTCAGTATTACAATATGTGACCTCTGAAATAAATTCAGACCTTCCTTAGTAACCAAAGTGTGACAGCCCTCTGTTGATGGCATCTGTCTTTTATAAGTTTAGTTTGAGTTAAGTCATTATCAGAATTCTTCCATTGACATGAACCATTCAGGGTTGTTTTTACACATGAGAAATGAAGCTAATTTGTCGCCGATGAGTATTGCTCAGCAAGTATCAGAGAAGCATACATGTAGGGATGGCCTTGAAACATTACTTTCTTCCTTATTACATTGGGGCTAGTCAATCTTGGATTGGGTATCTTTACTCTTCCAGGTCTCTCATGGAGATTCTGAGAGGGATCCAAAGTCATCTCTCCTGTAGGGGTGAAATAATATCCTATTTTTCATGTGAATAACTGAGCATAATATATATTTAAATTATTGTGCTCTCATGAAATGATTTCTTTGTAATAAAGAAACAGTTTTATGCAAATTTGATTTCCATAATATCAATTGATTGTGAATTATTTAGATGGGGCCTCAAAAATTGAGACTGTTGCTCTACCTGACATTAGCACTTCTGTGTTCTGTCCTGAAGTAGCCAATTAAGCCCTAGTTTTGTTGGGCTATGATTTTTTGTGACCTCAATCAAGCCTGAAACTAGACAATTCCTTGTCTCGTGTTTCAATATGCTGTCTAGGATAGCATAGGCCATCATACACTTGACTTTAGGCTTTACCAGATCTCTAGAAACCCTGTGAACCTGAATCATGAGAAATTCTTCCCATTCAGAGTTACCTGTAGGAAGAAGAGAAATACAGAGAAAAAGGAGAGCATTCCTAATGTTATGGAAGTACAAGACATAATACTTTAGCCTATACTGTAGCATATGCCATGTCCCATGGAATTTCTTTCTCTGGACCTCAGGAAGTAAACATTTTTTTGCAAAAGGTATAGATGTACAATATAGCATTTCAGGCATCTCATGACTTTGTGATGGTTTCTTTGAATTTCTCTTAGGTGCTCAAAAATCTGAAGGCTTGACTTGTAAACTATCACTCAAGGATGGCCTGCATGGATTTATGCCAATATTGACAATCTGACTGAGCTGACAGGGACAATGCCTGGATCAGTGGACTGAACAACACGTTATGGAGAACCTCTTTAGGAGGATGGAATTTTCATGACTTTACCCTCATGGTGTATTACTCTCAACAAAAGGGTACTGGGGCCTCAAGTTCAGGCAACGGTAGTGGAAGCAATAAACAGGTCTGTCTCTTTGCCTTTTCATTCACTCATAAAATGATCTTAGGAGATAATAATGCATTTCTTAATTCTTACAGATGACAGTTGTGGATGGAAAAGGAAGTAGTGGTGTGAACCCAGGAACCCGGAAGACCGGGCCTTCCGAGACCAGAAGACGGGTGAAACTGTATGCTTTAAATGCTGAAAAGCAATGGGATGACAAGGGGACAGGCCATGTCTCCTCTTCATATGTTGAGCGGCTCAAAGGAACTTCTCTCCTTGTCAGAGCAGAAGCAGATGGCAAGTTGTGGATGGATTGCTATAAAGGGATCGTATTCAGAGAGTATTATCTTTTATCGCTTTGTATTCCCTTAGGGTCCTTGTTATTGGAATCCAAGATCCAGCCCGATACAGCATATCAAAAGCAACAGGTAAATTTTTTACACATTTTTAAACCTAAGAGGCTTAATCAATACGTCAACAAAGGGTAGACAGTGGGATATGTGACTACGGCAAAAATTTCTCGTCCCTTTTTTTTTGTTATCTGTGTTTCATTTATGAATCAAGGATGATATGTCCATATGGAAACAAAGTGAAGGGACATTCCTAGGGGTCCCAGTGGAGCCATAAGAAATGAAGTTGAATATACAAGAATGCAACTTTTCTAGATAGGTGAACTGAGATATCATGATCATGATATACTGAGATACCATCAATTGTGCATGCTTAAGTACTTCTGTTGTTTTACTCTCTGACCAGGCTTTGCAGTCATGAAATGAAGGTTTAGTTCTGGCTGCATTCCTTTCCCAGGCTCTTCTTTCCAGTATTTGGCCCCTTTTCTATGCCTTGATTTATTTATTTATTGTTAACGGTTATAACTTTTCCTCTAATGAAATTAAAGTAAATAAACCCCTTTCCTTGCACATACTTTTCTACAAAGCAATCTTAAGTAAAACTGGTTTTCAAAAACAGTTGCCCAATATTTAATGCAAGTGGGAAATTTGAATTTTACCTGATATTTCATCTTACATAGCTTGCTAGTGAGGTGGAAGTGTTAATTAATTCTCTCATTTTTGCGTTTGATATTTTGGTTATGGGTTTGCATGCTTGCCTTGGTATCAATTAGCATTATTTCTGGTTTTAAATGGTTCCTTTTTATTTTTTTTTCTGTATTCCATTTGTAGGCTAGCAATTTAAAAGTATTAATTTATAGGTTAACAAGTCATGTTATTTGAGAAAGATGAAAGGAAAAAACCTGTCTGAATAGAAACTTTCATTATTATCACAATAACTAGGAGAATCTTGCTGAGACTTCAATATGTCAATGAGAACTGACTGTGACATCTGTCCATGACTTACCATGATTGAGACCATTGAAGTGTAAATTGGTCATAGGGATGATGTGATTATTGAAGAGTTTGGAAAATTCTCTGAGTTTCTGTGTAAATCTTGTACTCTTCCATGCATATCTAACTGCTGGTTGCAACCTGACAAAGCCTTGGGGTCAGCACAAGCAAACCCATTCTACTTTCTTTGACTTCATTGCTTAGTTTGTTTCTTTTTTCCCCCCATGTTTGGTGTAGAGGAAAATAGTTAAGCTACTAATTGGCAAATAATAAAGCTGCAAATTGTAGTGACAGCCTATTATGTCTTCTCCAATTTTTTTAGCATTTACCCATGTGACTGGAGCTGTCGCATGAACAACTTCAGAATACAAGGTGATTGTAATTTTGTTATTCATTGCATTTTCCCTTCTTAGGAGACCCTCATTGTTTGGTCTGAGGGTGGGAATTATGACTTGGCCCTCAGTTTTCAAGAAAGGGCAGGCTGTGATGAAATCTGGGAAAAAATTTGTCAGGTTGGTTGGGTTATCAGAACCCTGCTTTGCTTTATTAGTCTTTGTAAAGGCTCTGTTCATTGCTGATCACATTTTCTCTCTTCCAGGTGCAAGGCAAGGATCCCTCAGTGGATATCACACAAGATATAGTTGAAGAGAGTGAGGATGAAAAATATGATGAAATCTCAGACTTCAATACCAGCACAGTGGACCTCCCTTCTCCAGAAATTGGACGTCTGGAAGAGATCAATGAGGTATTACTCTTAGACACAAGGGTGTCTCAGAGAATACTATTTGTTTACACCATCATTAGGCCTACATTTGTTTTTTATTTTTTTTTAAATACCAGTTTATTATGTAGAGTGGTTGGTAATCTGGTTCTGGTCTTCCAGGTTGTTACAAGTTGTATGACCTCACCACTGCGGCGTGAAAAACTGGCTCTTCTCATTGAGAATGAGAACTACATTAGGAAATTGTTGAACGTATTCCACATCTGTGAGGATGTGGAGGACCTTGATGGCTTGCGCCACCTCTACTCCATATTTAAGAATATTTTCCTACTCAACAAGAATGCCTTATTTGAAGTCATGTTTTCAGGTGAGATACTAAAGATGCATATATATACATCAAAAGAGTCTGCAAAGGTGGCTATTCACCCAATGTAGAGACTTGAACTTAATGTGCACTCATTTTACAGAGGAGCTGATATTTGACGTGATTGGGTGTCTGGAATATGACCCGACTCAGAGCCAGCCGAAGCCCCATAGGGAATATCTGAAGAGGCTCTCACAATTCCATGAAGTCATCCCCATTCGAAATCCAGAGCTTCTTAGCAAAATCCATCAGACGTATCGAGTTCAATACATCCAAGATGTTGTCCTGCCCACGCCGTCCCTGTTTGAAGAGAATATGTCCACCTTATCTTCCTTCATCTTTTTCAATAAAGTCGAGATTGTATCCCTCATCCAGGTCTGCACTCCTTTTCTTTGCAATAATGTTGTGCTGTGTGGTTGCAGTGGTGACCTGAAAAAGTTTTTCTTGAATGTTTGCAGGAAGATGAAAATTTCCTCATGGAGTTGTTCTCACAGCTCACAGATGAATCAACTTCAGATGCCAAGAGGCGAGATTTGGTATTATTCCTCAAGGAACTCTGCACCTTTTCACAGACTCTCCAGCCACAGAGCCGGGAAACTTTTCTCAAGGTTGGCCTCTGGCACTGCCTGAGGATGCAATAAAATATGCTACTGTTCCAGAATGACATCTTGCTTTTTTCTCAGCTCCTGTCAAGCCTGGGGATCTTGCCAGCCCTTGAGCTGGCTTTGGGGGTGGAGGATCATGCTGTGAGGTCTGCTGCCATAGATATCCTAGCCATCGTTGTGGAGTTCTCCCCTTCTCTTGTGCGAGAATACATGCTGCTTCAGTCTGCCAAAGTTGATGAGGTGTGTTTCTCTTAAGTGACTCAGGATACATTCATTGTTATATAGTTGATCTTCAAATAGTTCCTCTTTAGCTTAAATGTTGTCTCTCTAGTCTCCTGGAGGGGATAGTATTGAATTGGTAGAGTTGGGGTAGAGAGTAGTGTTGACAACCAAAGTTTCCTTGGGTTTGAAATTCTTCTATTTAGAAGACTGAAGTGTGACCGATTTGATCCATGGGTCTTGTTGATAAGCCTTGATGTCAGATTCCTTCCTGATCTCTACAAGGAGGCCTTATATCGAGATAAATCAACACTGTACTCACTCTATGAAGACAAATTGACTGAAGTTGCCATCACATATTGTCTAACTGCATAACTACTGAGTTATGGACTGCCACAATTAGTAATATCTTTGCCTCTCATTGTACATTTCATTTTAGAATATCCTCCAATCAATGAAAGACACAGATCTTGGCTGATTCTCAGCCTCTACTTCTCTTCTTTTTTTTTAGTGAACTTTCTTCCTATAAGAATTTACTGCCTGAGCAGTAAATGCAAAATCAATTCAAATCTTTAAAGCTAAATTATTAAATTATTTTCAATAAAAGAATCCACAATAGAAAACAGCTCCTTTCAGGCTGGTTAGACCAGAAAAATAAAGTAAATAAATAAAAGAAACCACACAAACAAACAAAAAAAAGGATTCAATCAAATAATATTCTCTTTTTTTTTGCATTCCAACTCAGCCATCCAGGACGAACCCAATTGGGTTCAATGAATGGCCTTATTGCCACTATTTGCTGCTGCTGCTTCTTTTTTTTTCTCTCTCTTCTTTTTTTTTCCCCCTCTCTCTCTTTTATTTATTTATTTATGCATTGTCTTTCATTTTTGTCATTGTTTATACCTTCATCTTTGTTACTTATCTGCAAATATGTGGAAATATATTTATTCTATTCTAAGAAAATTGAGGAACCATATGCAATTTTTTTTTAATTCTGTGAGTTCCTGTCTGCATGTCAATGTTAAGATTTTACCAATGTTTGTGGTTTTATTATTGACTCCACTAATTTCCTGCTGCAACTAGCAGATGCAGTATGCCTACATTAGCATCCATTTGATTTCAGAAACATTCCATTAACTCTCTATTAAATGTTGGAGTATGCCAGGATTTTGGTTGGATCTCCCAAAAACATGCTGTTGCATTTCATGCAAGCTCAACCATGACAGCTTTCCAAATCAAGTCATTTTTGCCTCACTGTCCCACAGGTGGCTCATGAGTATGACAGTTGTAGCCAGATTGTCTGCCAAAGTGTTAAAAATAATTTTGAAATCTGGAAACTGCCAGGAAGGAGCAATGGATGGGTATTTACCACTGTTATTTTTATATATTTACCAGGCTTTCCTGTCTGCTCAGTTATATTATATCCATTCTGTTTGCTTCCATCCTGCTCCTGATGTATTCTACATTATTTTACTTGGCACATATGACAGTGCTTCAAAGGCAGTTCACTATTGGACTGGGCTTTGCCATACTTTGTTATTCTTGCATTTCACGTTGGAGAGATGTATGCCTAGGTGGAAGATGACTGAATTTGATATACCTGTTCACATGGCTCTTATCCAAATCTAGATAACATTTGATAGGTAAGAGTACTAATTTGCAAGAATAGATCTTGATTTCCAAGCATCACTTAATCTCCAATGAGAGAGAAGAAACAGATGACTCAGAAGCAGTTCCATAGGGTTTGGAGTTATAGTTTAACTATTTCAGACCTGAGACACTATCAGAATAATATACTTTTTTTGCATTTTTGAGCCCTTTTCCTATTCTACTCTAAATTGTTATGTTCTATATATTGGCTTTTTATTTTGTATAAATTTACCATATCATGCCATATAATATATATTATGCATGTAGTTACATAACTGAAGATTTCAAAACAGACTGGTGAGAGAAGGCTTCCAATGGAATTGAGCCATGCATAATTGAGTCCATTGTACAGGGTGTTCTGTAAGCCCCAGGTCACTTACCCAGTTATTGATCCAGTAGGTCAGTGTGTGCTCCACCATTGTCATGGCTCAATATTATCATTCTCCAAGTTCTAAGAATGATTTATTAATTTATTAATAATTTATTAATTAAAAAGAACTAAGAATTAATATCTATAATAATAATTATAAATAATCATGACCTGGGACTAACAGAACACCCTGTAGTGTGATATGGGCCACAAAGTCATGAGAATTCCAAGAAATCACCATAGGAACAATGAAAATGCAATGTCCATTGGAATGGATGCAGGGTCTGATAGGGTTAAGGGAAAATGTGTCAGAAACATGCTAAGTTTTATATAAAATTTTGAAAGAGAGGCAGTATGTGAAAAATCCTTTGTTCATCAAGCTGGAGGTATTTACCTCCTTCCAAGAAAAGTATGTTCTCTGTGTGTTTTTACCAATGACTTCTTCAACTCGGTCAGACCCAATCAGTATTGAGTGGCAGGGTGTGGTGAAATATTCAAGAAATTAATGAGAAAATAATGTTTTGTGAACCAGGACACTGGGATTGCTTTCTTATTGCAAGGTGTTGCTGGAACTGTCAAGGAAGAGTCGTTGTTCTTGTTATTCATATTCTACATATGAAAGTGGAAGCATTTTCTGTTTTAGCATGTGATTATTGGCACCAAATTTCTCTATAACTTCATCATTCTTCTCATTGGTGTTTTGTTTTTCTTGCAGGAGCAATTGCTATCAAATGTGATAATAGAGCAGATCATCTGCGACCCAGATCCTGAACTGGCTGGAGCTGTGCAGCTGATAGGGGTGCTCAAGATCCTCCTCGACCCTGAAAACATGCTTGCATCCATCAACAAGTCTGAACGAACAGACTTCCTCACATACTTTTACAAGCACTCCATGCACGAACTCATAGGTACCCCTTCATTTCTTGCTTATTTGTCTTGAAGCTATCTTACTGATGTTGATGTTTTATGATGAGAGCATAAACTGTGATTCATGCAGCTCCTCTATTGGCCAACACATCATCAGAAGATGGACCAAGTCGGGAGGATTCCCAGACTGTGCAACTTTTGAGCCTCATCTTGGAAGTTTTAGGATTCTGTGTTGACCATCATGCATACCACATCAAGAACTATATCCTTGGAAAAGATCTCCTTCGCCGAATCCTTGTCCTTTTGAGATCACGTCACACATTTCTTTCCCTATGTCAGTCTCCCCCTCATTTTCTAATGATGAGATTCTGTAAAGCAGCTGGATTTATTTTGAGGTTCCTCAATAGGTTCATTGCGTTTGATGCGGAAGATTGTGGGCCTGAAGGACGAATTCTACAACCGGTACATCATACGTGGGAACTTGTTTGCTCCTGTGGTTGATTCTTTGATCAGAAATAATGGTCGGTACAACCTCCTGGATTCGGCTCTCCTAGAACTGTTTGAATTCATCAAGATGGTTTGTCTTCTTACTTACTTGGCCTGCATTTTCCATATCTTTGTCTGCATGCTGAATTGAATGTCTTGATTCATCAGGAGGACATCAAAAGCTTGTGCACCCATGTGATTGAGGTCCATGGTAAGAAGCTAGACAAGATTGAATATGTGCAGACGTTCAAATCCCTTCAACTCAGGTATGACCAACAGATGGATCGATTGCATCGAGACAAGTTTTCCATAGATGGGTGAGTCTTGACTTTGCATCTTATTCATATGAACTGTAAGGGACACTGGTCATATAACATGCATGGCAGTGTGAAAATCTGTTTCAATTGGCATTTGGAATTCAAATACTTTTTTTTAGTTCACTTCCACCATTGATGCAGCGTCGAACTATGTCACGCTTCCGCCGTGACCCACGGGACCTTGACGAAGACGAGGAGCTGTGGTTTGAGGCAGAGGATGATGTTGGGGAACCTTCAGAAGGTACAAGTGCATCGCTTGAGGAGACAGATGCTCCCAGTGGAGTGTTGAGTGTTGGAATGCTGGAACGTCGGTTAGGAGGAGGAGGAGGAGAGAGAGAAAGAGAAAGTGAAAGAGAAAGAGAAAGAGAAAGAGAAAAAGATGAGGAAATGTCTCCTGATTCCACTACTCCCACACCCTCCCCATCTCCTGTTGCAATGGCAACCACTCTCACTTCATCTCCTGTTCATCTGAAGGCATCTCTACTCTCTTCTGGCAAGGTGAGGCATTCTTCATCTTCATTCATTTATTCATTCATAGGTGCAAAAATACATGATTCCAGAGTGAGAGTGAATAAGTAGTGTGTGTGTGTGTGTTTGAAATGGTATAACTTAATACAGGTACAGTTAATATTTGCTTGGAAAAAATTGTCTAAATTTTTACCAGTCAGGATAACATTTTTTCCTATTGCTAAAACATGACTTCTGCTTGTAGAGGCCTGTTCATGGGGCTGACACAAGCAATCATATAGTGCAAAAAGCACCTGATTGTTGCTGAAGTTCCTTCCTAAAGGAAGGAAAGAGAGAGTGACCTCTTCTGAATTGCCATTCTTGGTATGGGCAAGTTCTTTCAAGAATGGGAAGAAACCACATTCTTAAATATGTTGGAATAGAAACCCAGGTGTTGAAGATCCCAAAATAACTTGTAAAAGCAGACTGGTAAAAGATGATACCTGAGCAACTTGATAGAGATTTCGATTTCCAATAGTAATATGGCATGGAAAAATTTATCTTTAGTTCCTGCACTGAGGAGAGCGTGAATGCACAATTTGTCATTGATGACAAAAAATAAATGGCTTGGATGTGTCCTGATAATTACAAGCATAAGTAATCAAACACTGACCCCAGCATACTGACAGTGACTGAAGCTTTTATTGAATATGGGCCTTAACTGTTTTTGCCTAAGTAACATCATTGGTGTTGACACATTTCATGGTAAAAAAAAAGAAGAAATCTGACGTTCATGTGTTTACTTTCTCGATGTTTCACTACAATACTCACAACTGTAGAAATTGTCATTTCAGATAGGTCTAGTGGACTATGAAGGGGATTCCGATGAAGAGGACAATGGAATGGATGAGGACGAAACGAGAACGACAAATTCTAAGCGGGACCGCAAGAGCGAGGATGAGGAAGATGAGGATGAAGACGAGGGCGACACGTCGTCCAAGAGGCCGCGCACAGATCCCGACTGAAACTGATCTCAACATCCCCTCTCTCTCTTGTTTTCTCTCCATTGTTCCATCTGCAATGTACAAACCATGGACGACGAGAGCGAGTTGAAAGACTGAAAGAAAGAGTATTCCGTGTTCCCTCTCCGAGTACAATGACGTGTCGTAGTGAGAGCTGCGTCTGTCTGCGAGGGAGATGGAGGAGATGATGTTGTCCTGTCAAACTCTCTCGGTGTGCACCTCCATAAGTTTCATTTCATATGCTTATCTCTCTCTCCTCTTGGTTGATGTAAATACAGTTTTATATTATATGTCTGGATTTTTGTCTCTGCTCCTCCATCCTTTGAATGCTCCTATCAGCTCCTTCTTGTTGGCCCTTGATACTCTCTCCCCCAATTCTCATGTGCTCCTTTTCTGTGTCGGGCATCGACTAAAAGCAGAGTACCTGAAGAGTGAGTTTATTTTTAATTTGGTGAGGCACTTCACTTTCCTTTTATGATGACAGCTGGCTTTTGCCTTGATATCAGGGGCCCGACAGTGACAACAAACTGGTCATGGATACAGGAAATGCTGCTGTTTCAGGATGAAATGAGCCCATGAAAGAAATACAGTCGGCTCTGTATAACAAACACGGACATGCCAAAATCCTTGACCTTGCCCGGTCAAATTTTCATAGACACCCATTCTAAAAAATTCGGGTATATGGAAATTTCCATGTAACGATGTTAACGAAATAGTTTCTGCATCCCTAGACGGGAAGTACGCAGGATAAAATGTATTTTCCCTCGCCCAAAAGGAAATAATTTATTTTTTTCTCCCTATTGTGGGAAGTGCAGAAGGGTTAGTCCTTATCTTTATGAGTCTATAAGGACTCTTTTTATCTCTATATCTTTCTCTTTTTTTTATCCAGCCCTTCACTTTGGTCGTCAGCTGCACGGCTTATGAGAACCAAGGCTTTGGCGCTCGCAGAATGCGCGTGATCGGGGGAATGTGAGTGTGGATGAATGAGCGTGTGGCGGGGGATATGATCTCGAGCGTGGCAAGTGAATGAAGCACAAAAGTGCTCTCCCGGCAGCTTTTCATCGGCTCCTTTGCCCCATTTATCCTTGGGAGTTTCATTTTACTAGACTTCTGGAGGCCTATGCCCCTTGAAGACATCAGCTGCCGCATTTTCCGACGCATTAACCTCGATGCCACGTGATTCACCAGTGGATATGTGGCAGTTAACGTGTCATACTGTTGTCAATGAAACCCTCAAGAGCCGTCGGACCCTCAGTACCCCCATGGGATGATTGTGTTTACACAGACGTAATGGGGATTCATTTCTTAATTGGAGATTTACTACTAGGTTCAAAAAGTTTCGAGACTCGGGTCACTATGACCGAACACTGTTGCACAACAAAAAGCAAATTTTGCTGAGTGTAGTTAGGGTTCCAGACTACGTGCATATCACGATCGCATTCGCTGAACTTCACGTGGCAATTACTGGATTGCGCCCTGTGCAACTCTTTAGCTGTCAGTCTGCGGTCAGCATTCACCTTGTGAAGATGCCACGTTTCGAACAGCGTGCTGATGCGAAATGTCGAACGGGAAGAACGGTGAATAAAGAGATGTATGTAGACGCCGCGGCGTCTCCGAGTAGCAATCCGTTTGAAACGACCACAGATGTGGGCAGACAAGAATTGGATCCTCCTTCACGTCAATGCACCAGCGCACAGATCGCTGATGATGAGCCGTTACTTGACAGCCACAGTCGTGCTTCCACATCCCTGGACCTTCCACCATGCGACTTTTCCCAAGAATGAAGAAGCGCCTGAAGGAACGCCGTTTTTCCTCGGCAGAAGAGGTGAAGGAAGCTACGGTGGCGGCATTGAATGGAGTCGCTTAAAATGAGTTCAAGTTCTGCTTCGAGGAACTTTACAGACGTTAACAAAAGTGTGTTGAAAGCCAGGGTCACTACTTTGAAGGTGACACAGCAACAGTGCCGTAACGCTCACCGTTCGCGTGCAATTTAACCTCAGGCATTTCTTTCGAGACTGATCGATTGGTGCTTTTGTGGAATCATCGCGCATCATCGTCTCGTAACAATCCGAAACTCGGTTACGTTTCTATGCATTAAATTTTATTTTTAACATTTTAATTTGATTAACACCGAAGATACGAGACATCACCTGACACAGACTCCCGTCATGTCATTCGAGTCCTCTGCACTTCTCGCCTAGGGCCTGTAGGGCGGAGGTTCACGGCGCTATAGTTGTGTTTCTAGGGGTCGATTAACACGACGTCACAGGAGTAAGGAATCATTGGTTTCTTTCCCGTCGAGGAACTCACCTGCCGGCACAATAGGATACCGTAATACCAAAGTTATGCGAGCCACAAACCGCAGTGAACCCGATACGTGTCACTCTGCTCCCGCCGGAACTATTTTCACAAAACACTTAAACTTTTCACAAAACTTACACTGTGCACATATTAACCCCTTCACTGGCAGGTTTTCTGACACGCTTTGAGAGAAGTCCGAGAATTTCTCGGGCATACCAGTGAAAGATGTTAATGTTCCCAGCAGAGGCCATCATTTTAATTAGCATTCTTTCAAAATCAGTAATTTTGTAGTCCCTTTTGAGTGATTGCACTCTGTCTGGCTTCATCTAGCTGATGTATAAAAAGGTAACATCTCGACAAATGAACAAATCTAGGAATTGATATTTATTCATTTCATCGTTAATTTCAATCGATTTCATGAAAACTATCAGCAAAGAAACTTCGTGTAGTCCACTCCATGACCAGCACACGCTCTTGCCCATTTTCAATTTTTCACTCCCTTTGGACAATGGCTCATGGCGTTGTCTCGGAGAAATGAATTGGGATTTAATCTCGAAGGTATGTTAGAAGCATATTCATCTATTGCACGGTGAAACTTTCGTGATAATAGCTTCACCATTCTCCCTTCAGAGCGAAGGAAGAGTTCGTCGTTTTTTTTTTTTTACAACTCGTAAATCGTTACGAAGAAAATTATGTTCGACGCTCCCTTGGGAATGGTACTTACACGGAAACACCCGGGGCAGCACCCGCAAATCCCAATGACGACACCAACCCTGCATTTCGACGCGTCGAAGCTCGTCCAGCATGCCCCCCTCACCTCGCTAGTACACGCGTCGCACGACGATCCTTCCCCTCTGGACAGATGGTGAAAAACCATTTTTAAAGCGATCCATGATCCACATCGATCCGTTCGGGGAGACATGGCATCTAGACCCTTGCCAGATCCCCCATCTCGCCAAGCGAACCAGAGGATTAAAACGAATGAAGTGAATTCCACTGGAATTAAGACTAATGTCATCAACACATCAGTCTCGGTCGAGCGTTCGTAGCGTGAGGACGTGTTGGAGGATACTCTCGAGGTTCTGTCAGCCAAGTCGTGAGTTAGTTGTTACCTGGCTACTTTGTAGCAGTTTTCATAAGTTTTCTGATAGCTACCTCCAACTT